CTGTAAATTAATCTGGGCCTGAAACTTGATCCTTCCAAGAGGGGACCGAATTATTTAATGAGTGGCATGTGCGGCAAATTATATCCGGGAGAGATTTGCTTTTGACTTACGATTTTCTCATCCAGTCGCACACAGACTCCTCCCAAACGGTTTTGTCGTTACGAGTGTATATAATAGCTAGGTTCTTACCGCTGTAGAATAAGCTAGTTGGAAACGAGTTCCGTTCGTTGGCTCTTTGAAGCCGTCGTGATTGGTCGCCGAGCGCCTCCAACAGCGCCCGATTCGCGCACTTACACCACTTACACGATGATTACGATTTGAGCGTTCGTGCATATTCATAAGTCTCTGTAATTGAAGTCTTTGCGGGCTGCTCGAGGATTCATATTCTGATTAGTGTGGATTGGAGTAATCCATTTGTGCTACTTGTTTACGTTGCAGCCTTAATCGCTAACGCTTGTTTGTTTTGTCACAAACCGCAGCAGAATTGTGTCACCACCATAGATATAGGATAATCTCAGTGTAGAGTACTAAAAAAATCGACCTCAAAAGTACGTGGAATTACATCTATTTGCCAAGTTTTATTGAAATATCCCCTAGTTCGCCACTATACAGGACTTGACACAAGAGATAATAAAAATCGGTTGTCACTACTCAAAGTATATTGAGAGAGAAAAACGCCTTGAATTGGACAATAGCAAAACCAACCATTAAAATAATTGCTCCTTAAGTAAAATTTAGGCGCTATTCATAAAAATGAATGGTCATGCGTGATCAGCCACCCTTAGAGGTGGATGATTTTCTTGAAAATGAAATGGGACCACTATGGAGGCACCCTCTTTCCAACGAAAAAAAATCATGAAAATCGGTTCACAAATACCGGAGTTATCGCGTAACACACATACAAAAGAAACATACATTCAAATTGAGAACCTCCTCCTTTTTTTGAAGTCGGTTAAAAAAAGGGGAGGTATGTAATGACGCCATGTAAGATCGGGTACCGATGTCGCCACTTTTTAGCTTGTGTGCAATTCAAACTTACTAATTAATCTTTATCTGCTACCACAACTTAAAGATTTTGATTGGGTAGGGCTTAAAACGTGACTACGACGTAGCACAATTTTAAAATTTAACAAAATAAAACTTACAGTCAATTGAGTAAGAGTTATATCACAATATTTCGTATTTTTTCACCCTGGTTCAACCATTCACCATCAGGAGGCGTTTTAGTAAAAATGCTACTATAAGCATATAATAGCTAACTATTACACGTTAGATGGCGCTGAAACTCATTTCTCGTTACACTAAGAACTCAACGAGCGGTTTTCACTCACGTCGGCCGCGGGACCGCGGCATTTGTAAAATGTAATAGTTAAGTATGTAAAATTAGTAGCAAATTTCATGGCGCGTTTTACGCCTGTAGTGGTGACGGCTGCTCGCGGTTGCCGCGGCGGGGTACTAGCAGAACCGCGCAGGACGGGATCACCTGCGCGCTTGGTGGTTGTCGTCGCGCGCGCACTTTGGCGGTCGGTTCAGACGCAATGTGGTGCAGGCGCACGCGGGATGAGTTTTCTTTTAACCGCGCGACTTGCGATTAACTCCCACTAACTTCGCGATCCGTTCCACAATCGCAACGGTTTCGTACCTGCAACCGCGGTGGCTACGTGCCCGCACAAATTTGCTGGGTCGTGAATATTGAAATAAAACCGCTACTGTCTAGCAGCACCGGCGGGCGCGGATGGAAACCGCTCCGTGAATTGTTAACCTTATTAACGGACGCAACAACGTGGTAGAGGTAAATGGGAGGAGAAACACACTACCATGATGCCAACCATTAGAATAAAGAAAAAATCTTTATCTTAATGGTTGGCACCATTTAACTGCCTCCATGGTCGAACGGTTACCATGCCGGACTGCCACGCAGAGGACCCGGGTTCGATTCGCGGGCCGGGAGAAATATTTATATGGCCTGTATTTATGTCCCTCGTGACTTTGGGTGAATTTTTGTCGTTGTTTATGTGTGTGTCCATAGCACCTGCGATACACAGTTTCCGTAGTGCGGGGTTATGAATGTGTGCGCTATTAATAACATTATTAATAAAGGCTAAAAAATGATGGTGTATGATCAACATCTCAACTCCCATAACGTCAGCGTAGTAAACTATGGCTATCCTCCTTAGCAACGACCTCGCCGTAAACTTACTTACTGCGTTATTATTATTACCTGCCATCTGGATTCATAGTAATTACTCACTGTTGGCAAGGAATATTTGTATATATGAGATTTCTCATTTTATGATGTAACACGTCAATGTTTTGCGTACTATTGCAATACGTCAACGTTTATGTTTCCATTTAGAGATGTTCTAAAACAGTACTGCGGTTAGACTCAGGGCAAACTATCGCACGTGTTTGAACTATACATGCTCTTTCTCGTAATTAAATTGCCTAGAATGATATTTTGTGGTAATCCTGTACTTCAGTTCAGATTTTTCGGTGAAAAGTTTTATCACTTTTGTTTATTGTAAAATGGTGCCGCTCACTTTATATTTAGGCAAGAAATCTTATACACCCTGAAGTTTTAATTCACTAGAGAAAATGTGAGGGATAATAGTATGCATGAATATTAACAACTTGTTATTCTCTCGTAACCCGAAAACAAAAAGTGAAAACCGGAATGCAGTAATGATCACGTGGCATTCTTTCATGGACAAACTCTTCCACAATGTTTATCGCTTTATTCCTAAAGTTAATTAAAATATTTCACCTCTGATCCGTCTTGGATACTCTATATATAATTTAATGGCCTCCTTTTGATAATCTTTCACACTGTAATGGTTCCAGATAAAATCTAATTTCTGTTAAGAGTTGTTAATGCTTCAGTTGTAAATAAAGATTCTTTTTATCTATTTTAACTAATGTTTATTCAAAAGGACATTCTTTTTCTTTGAAAGCAGTACATACATCAACGAGGGATGTGGTCCTACCTAATCGACAATTAGAAACCATGTGGCTGTTAAAAAATATTCCATTTTTCATACTAGGTATACATACACTGGTGCAGGTGTATTATTAAATTTATATATTAATATAAATTATTATTATTTTCTTAATTGCGGCCACTAGGCTTGGGCCAGTGCCAGTTTTATAAGAATAATATAAGAAATATGGCGACTGTCGCCAGTGTCAGTTTTCCATTATACGTTACCACGGGTTGGTGAAGCTGTCACTGTCAAGAGTAAGCTCGAACCATCATCGAATTTTGTAAATTAGATTATGTTGTTTTTTTATGAAGGATTTATGTAATTATCTATAATTGTTTGTAATTTATTTTGCATGCACGTGTAAAATAAAGCCGATTTTATTTTATTTATTTTTTAAATGCATTTGCTATGGAAATTGAAACAAAGTCAGAAATAGAATAAGAAAACCAATATTTCGATTTTCCTGCAGCTTCAATCCAATCTTCTTTTATTTTGAACTCATTGGAAAAACATAAAAATTAAAAATACTCTACGTTTAATCTACGAGTATAATGGAATTTAAATATCTAAAACACATAAATTTTTCTTCAAGCAACAGCAACATCCAAATTGACATGAAATTGAAACGGTTGTCCGAAATATGAATTGTGTTAAAGTTACTCGAAATAAAATGTTTAGTAATAATAATAATAATAATATAATAGAATAAAAGAAATCAATTTAACGTGAATACTTTTCGCTCCGATATTTTAGGAATTAAAATCCCTAAAATATTTATAATATTAATATTTATTTACAAAAATCATAGTAAGAAATTCAAACATTTCAGTAAAAATTTATTGCCGATAAACATCAGTCGTCGTAAATGAACATCACTATATTTGAGTCTAGAAATTTCCATGGAGACAAAAAGAAAACATTAAATAATAATAGAAATAGTAAGTAAAAATGCAAATAGCTGGTGGAATGTTATCTCATTTTCGGTTTTAAAATTTTTGTTTTCACTAAATTTTTGACAAGGTCTATCGCTACAACTTGCAATTTTCACGTTTTACGACAGATCTTGTATGTACAACGATCGCCATGTCACTGTGGCAATGTTTGTAGGCGTGTCACCTATACGATCATTTTGATCATATCGAGGCGACACGAACCACGCCCTCATACCAAATCTCCCCTTTTTTTCTATATCTATGGTCACCACTCGCCCCGCACCGCCTCCGGTTAGACATTGTATTTTAACGTTCCACGTACATAAGTTATTATTTTATACAACTCGTTAGAAAGGACTCGAGCGAGTGTAACGTATTGTTTTTGTTGGTCGAGGAATAACTCGTAATAGTTAACATATTATTCGCGTCTGTATTCCATTTTTTTAAGAGCGCTCATTGAACGGGCGACCGCGTCATATCGAAGCTTCTCGATGAACCCGTTTTTTGTCGTCATCACGACCGTTGGTGATAGAGGACAGACCAAGGACAGCATAACTGCATCTTGCCTTGTCCGCGGCGGACCTATATCAGTTGTATCCAAACTTTCCGTTACGTGTCTTATTACGCGTTGGAATAGTTATTACGCGTTGGAATAGTTGAAATTAATTTGAGTACAATCTTTTCTCAACTTCCAACGTAATTGGAACACTTTTAAATACAGTTAAAAAGTGTAATCTCGCACCCCGATAGGGTAAGTGTTGAACAAACGTATATTATGTGTGTTAGGCAGTGTTTAGTCCTAAGTTAGTGCTTGTCCGCAGCCTCTTGGTCGTGAATTTATAAGCGTCTTAACAATTTTTCAAGGCAATCTTTTATTGCCTAATCATAATTTTTCAATGCAAATATTTCATTGTAACTCGCTGTATAAAAGAAAAGAAATGTAAGTCATTGTAACTCCGCTCTGATAGTAAACACCCACACCAACTGGTTTCGGCTTCTCCCTATAATATTAGGTGCACATAGTAAAAGGGGTTCACAATCAGCGGAGATTCTCCAACATATTCTCACTGTGGACATTTATTCACAGGGTATTATACCACGGCTAGAATAGCCACCGTTGTCGTTTACGACTACTGCACCGCTCCAGCCTTCCTAGTTGCCTAGGGCTTGGACGGAAACCACAACCCATTGACCCGGCGTTCCCCGATACGTACCAGAACCCCGGCGCTGCCATATAGGGAAGACCCCGCAGCCGCCACCGTGTCCAGGGGAGTATTAACTACGGAAGTGAAATCAGACTGAAAGTTAGGGCCCTTCGAACCACGGTTATTAAATTTTTAAATAAACACTTTTTATTTATTTGTTGTTGACTAATCGTATTTACTTGCCACATCTTGGGTACGAACGTCTCAGTATGACGTTATTATTTTGTTTTTACTATGTTGTTTTAAGTGAATTTAATGATTAAACCACTTCTATTATTGACATAATCTCAAAGTAATATGTGCAAAGTACGAAATCGACAGTATAAACAAGGTATAAACACGTGTTGATGTTGCAATTAATTCCGCTCGAAATGATCACAAAAGCGTTGGTAACTGCGTTAGTATTATATGTATATCAGCCCATTCACAAATAAGCATTAAATATAAAAAAAAGCATTATACAAAATATGTATATTATAATCTCGCGTCAAAGTCGTTCAACATGTCTGATTTTCATTAATCAAAGTGCACAACATTGTTCCAATAATGCAACTGTTTGGCCACAAGGATCAGCAGCGAAGACTATCGGTGATGGCGAAGGCCACGCGCAGCTTGACCCACACAATAGGTTTCCATAATTAACTAAATGAAGACCGACAATCACCAGAAGTGCTCCCTCAGCCGAACAAAGGGCAGACAAAGATGATGCTCGGCCAATTTATGCGAATAATGGGACGAGCCTGTTCGCCATTTGTATGTGAAGGAAATACACCGCCTATTGTGCTTGGGATTTTTTGTTCAACTTCGGGTGGAATTAATTGTGCCAGCTTAGTTTACAGTGCGTATGAATAGTGACGGTAGGCGTCGCTTTGTGCTCCGGTCTATGAATATGTTATGGCAGCACCGCCGAGGACGTTTCTTCACGTCTCCCATTGTTAGCCCGCGGAGTAGTGAATTCTGCGAACTGCTCAATCGATGTGCAAATCCACAAAAACTTTCGCTTCACTCTATTAAAGCATATTATAGGCGATGAGTATAAATCCCAGATTACAAAACTGTATCTTAGGAAAATAATTGTATTATCACCATTAAAATACGTCAAAGCTAAATAGAAGTGGGATATCAAGCAACCGTTGTCGAAAACAATTGACTCGCTGGAGTGATTAAGAAAATCACGTTCGATTGTATTCGGTCGGTTAATGAAGTCGCTTTGTGGAGTCGCTCCATTAACGGGCGCGCGCCCCGTGTGTATCTCATTGTGGCCAGACCCAGTGACCTAGTGCTGTGTCGGACGTCGAGTGCCGAACGCCGGGGCTCGGCGTAAGTTTCTTCGATGCTTCAGGCATTGCGTTCTGTTCCCTTGTGTTGAACATAAAGCATAGAGTTGATGATTATTTATTGCTTAAGTAATCAATTTCAGAATGGCCCGAACTCGCACGTAGACATGATTAGGTAGTATTTTAGTAAACCTTTCATTGGTTTACATTATACAAACCATTAACATCACTGTAATGTAACATATGTTTCATAATTTTAGGCTAAATTTTACATTCAAAGCAAGAATATAGAATCCTTACAAATCTAATACAGGCACAAGACATAACTAAATTACTTACGGTTAAGTCTGCCGGAAAACAAATTGGACACCTCCGAAATGAGCGGATGAGGCTTATCGTTGTCCGGCGCCGCACGAGGCTCAAGCCGTCAGCCATCGATCAATCAGCGCTTGTGTCGCATTTGCCCTTTTCCCGATCATATCTCCGATTGGTCGTCGGTATCGGCTCACTTATTTGAAAAGTTTTGACTTGAAGTAATGTATACCGTTAAATAATGTACACGTTAACTATGTATTAAATTCAAATTCTGTAAATAATTAAATAGCACTTCGTCTACTCATAAAAAGGTTATTGGTTCTGTTAAGAAGATTCATTTAACAAAATTATTATTAATTAAATTTTTATTGAATTGATATTCAATTATTTTTTGTGAA